TTCCCATCGATACTCAGTCTGTCACCTCTCTCCACTGGCATCATGGTTAAGAGTATTAATACTAGGATTAAACCACAAGAGTTCAGGTCCCCGCCTTGACCTAATTGGCTTCCTGACCTCTGTATACCTCTTCGTGCTTCTGTTCCCTCACGTGTCACATGAGAAGAATGATGGTGCCCACCCGGGAGCGTTGCTGTGGGGCTGAGAGGGATGGCTTCCGCCAGTTTGTGTGACACAGAAAGTACTAGATTGTTGTTGATATTATCACAGTAGAAATTGTTCATTCTTCCATGAACTACATCCAAAGGTATCACCCGTTCCTATAAAAACAAGCTTTAAGCTTTCAGTCACCAATGTAATAGAAACATAGCACAGTCCTAGTAATAACGTGACAGTCTACCACCTTGTAGTGAATTTTGCCATGTCTTCCTGTCACAGAAAATTATATTTTTGTTCTATTAAGTCTCAGACTATAGAAATGGCCAAACGTTGGTAACGATTGCATGGTGATGTAAGGTGACTTTCCTATCCCCTCTGCTTCCATCTTGAAATTTTCAGGAATCAGAAGTTTTAAAATATTGAATGTTTAGTTCTCATGAAGTTATATTTTTCTCCAGCCTTTGTATTGTGCTAATCCAACTGATGGTGTAAGTCATTTCCACGTTAGTTGTGAAGTGTCATAGATGAGTCACACCACCTTGCGTCAACCCTGCACTGTCAGAGCCTGGAACTACACGCCATGCTGGTGGCAGGAATCAGCACAGTGGCATGTGCTGTTTCCCTTTGTAAACATTTAAGACAAAGAAAGCATCTAATAAATTAGTCTGTTACTAGATAGAAAAATGTTCATCCTAGGACCTTTAAACTTTCATTACTCAGAGTTGCTTTACTTTAGATCTGTTGGGTTTGGGGGGTTTTTTTTGACTTGATGGATATTTATATTTATAGATGAAGCCTTTTTTTTCTATTTTGGGTTAGGATTTGTTTCTTTCAGAGAGGGGAGGGCTTGTTTGTAGTAGCACAAGGTTGTTGTCATGTTTGAGGCTGAGGGAGATTAAAAAATGTTAAATGATTATTACGACAAAGAAAGGTCGATTTCATTTAGTTAGGAGATTTTCGTGTTGGTCTGGTAATTGCTGACATTGTAAATTACACTTTCTCTAGCGCCCAAAGTAGTATTTTTATAATGATGTAAACTTGAGACCAAAATCTTAAAACCAATCCTATTACCCCTCTGTTTGCTATTAAAAATTGATTAGCTCCCTGTCGTTGGCGATTTTTGGAAATCTAAGACTCAATTATATTTGAAGATGAGAAACAAAAGAGGCAAAGGCTCAAGAGTTGAGAACACATTTTGTGGGAAATCTTAGTCTGATTGTCAGTCACAGGCTTAATCCAGTGACTGTGGCTAAGAGTAACTAAGGAGGTCTTCATGTCACTTAACAGGCTTTGCATGGTGAATATTCCCCAGGTGACCAAGATAGCCTAACAAGGCCAGAGAGGGTCTACATAGTCCAGCCTTGAGACTCCTCAATTGTGCCACTAGATCATACCCTTAAATTTAGCCTGACCCAGAAGTGCTGCGAGGCCGGGTCCAGAAGTGAGGGCCAATTCCAGGCTTGACCAGAAAGGTTCCCATAACGTCCCTCCTGAGAAACTTCGCTGGGGCTGTGCTTAAACCCCAAGAGTCCAGTGGTGTGCCAAAGAGTGCCTGAAGATGTAATATAAACAAGGCCTGTATGCTGGAAAACAGTGCAGTAACAGTTATTAAAAGTGAATTCCACAATTATCAAGAACAGGACTTCAGACTTTTGCCTGCTGAAGTGTGCACGTGCCACCTGCTTACTGCACAGAGGAAGGCAGCCTGGTACAGGAGGGCCCTGCGGCCAGGCCCCAAGGGAGCAACAGGAGTTAGGGTGGACAGAGGGGACATTCCGGGAAAGGGGCTCTGGTGAGGACAGGTTTGCATGCAGAGGGATTTGGGCTTGTTTTGGTGACCAGGGAAAAGATATCGTATCTGGAGCAAGAAGGTCTAGTTAGTGCCAAGAGATGAGCTTAGACCAGTTAGAAGGAAGGTTGGGGGCAGAACATGAAGAGCCGTGAGAAAAGAAAGTTGATTTCTTGTAGAGAGAAAAAAAATCTGTATCAACACGTCGTGTGGGAAGGTGACAGTCAGTGCACAAGATGCACTGGACGCAGAGCCCACAGAAGCGTGCAGGTTGTCAGTCCACGTGACAACGGTCCTAGGATGAAGGGACAAGAACACTCACCCAGTAGGTGGGGTAGGATGGCCGGGGAGGGTGTGAATGCGGCATGCGATAAAGGAAGGGCTTGTCGGATGCGTTGACTCTTCTGCTGAGGGTGAAGAGGAAGTCAGATTACGGGATGCCTAGAGCCTAGATGACCAGGACAGGGTGCGGGCTGCAGGGCCACCGCATACAGCCCCACGCGGGTCCTACTGCATCGGGGTGCTGTTCACGTCCACCACAGTGAAAACCCTGCCCCCCGGGGCAGCGTGGAAACGACCGGCAAACCAGCTTAGCACAGCCTTACCTTTGAGAGAAACAGGAAATCGAGAGAGAAGGTGTTCATTTTGGAAAAAAAATGTATGTGTTTCAACAATTTGGGAACCGCTGAGGTTGACTGGTCAGTGGGACCACCTCCCGAAGTTGTCCAGAGCATCGGGAGGCCGGGCCGCACGGCGAGAATCGAAGCCTGTCAGCCTACAAGTGCTGTGTTCTGCTTTTGCTAATTAAAAAGAAAAACTGAGTCCCAACCACAGTAGGTAACAGACGAACACAATTGGCTACTGCGCTCGGCCGTTTGGTGCATCGTATGCGAGAATGATGCGAACGCGGTTAGTAAATCAGACCCGACTTCTCGGATTGGGTTCAAATACATGGAACTAAAGTTGGAGGCTAAAATCACTTCGTTTCACCAAATAACAATAAATTAGGCAGGAACAAGGGAAACAGAAGTCCAGTGGTGCTAGAAAACCTCCTTTGAAATTTCTCCAGCCTCCTCCCTCCTCTCTCATCTTCGGAATGACAGTGTCTGGGCCTTTTCTCTGTTCCTTAAAGAAGCACAGTATTGATAAAGAAAACACTACGCCCACTCCAGGAGAGCAGAGTCTAGAGAATGAAGGGGGTGTGTGTGTGTGTGTGTGTGTGTGTGTTTCACAAGGCAGAAGAGCATTTTGTTGAGGGTGCAGTTTGCAGTATTACCTGTTTCTCATTTTGGAGGTTATGAATTTGAACTTCTGCTGGGAGTTGGTATGAGGTGCATAGTACAGGCCACCAGGACATGCAGGTGTGACAGGGCTTCTGCCCTGGAGACCAGGCTCCGCCTCTCCTCCCTGCAGGGGCCTGTGGAAAGGCCACCAGTCTGAGGACAGAGAGGCTCCACCTGCTTCTTGCTTTGAGCTCTGGAAGGAAATGTCTTTTGCAGCGGAGGGAGAAATCCCCACAAGGTCTCTGGGAGACGGAGGTGGCCGGGAGAGCCCGGGGAGCCCAAAGGTCCTGCAGGCACCCTTCATTTCCTTTACTGCATGTCAGACCCTCTCCAGGCAGCCGCATTAGACCATCTGCTAATGTGCCGCTCTGCCTGCTGGTCTCTCCTCAGGGCGGAGACCTCTTCGATGCCATTACTTCCACTAACAAATACACCGAGCGAGACGCCAGTGGGATGCTGTACAACCTGGCTAGCGCCATCAAGTACCTGCATAGCCTGAACATCGTGCACCGCGACATCAAGCCAGAGAACCTGCTGGTAAGGGAGGGTTCCGACGTCAGGGCACCTGGCGTTCCAAGGACTCATGGGCAATGTGAAGTTTTCTCTATTTCCTTTTCTTTCTTTAAAATAGATAGATAGATAGATAGATAGATAGATAGATAGATAGATAGATAGATAGATAGATAGATAGATAGATAGATAGATAGATAGATAGATAGATAGATAGATAGATGTGTATATATATACACACACACATCTATATCTATATCTATATCGATCTATATATATATATCTATATCTATATCTATCTATATCTGTATCTGTCTGTATCTATATCTATATCTATCTATCTATCTATCTATCTATCTATTTTATTTATATATATTATACGTATATATACACACACATATATATCTTGAAGGCTACTTTACAGCTGGCCTTCAGTAACTAGCTGAAAACTAGTCTTGTAAGTTGATCTATAAGGATTAATAGGTCATTACGAGCACTCACCTTACTAGCAAATAACAGCCCGAGGCCGGGTGGGAACAGGCTCAGGAGGTCTAGGCCTGGGCTAACACCCCGCCAGGCCAAGAGCGTCAAGAATACCTATATATATATTTTTACCTACAGCACTTTTGTGTTTGAAAGTTTTACTTGGGGGAAAAAAAAAAACACGCAAGCCCTTTTAGACTTTGTGAGTCTCCCAAGTTTACATCTCAATAATATGCTCTAAAAGCCAAGAGAATAAATCGTAATGGGTTTTAGAGACAGCGGCCCCGCAGCGTGAAAGCAAGCACGATGAAGACTGCTTTGGAATATCAGAGGCATTCTTACCACCCGCCTCACAGCTTTGCTTTGCTGTCCGTGAACTCGCCATCCCTGAGGTTCTCCGTGCAGGCGTCCGAGCATCCTTTCTGGGTCCATTGTTCAGGGGAGGTATTGGAAAGAATGAGGAAAGAATGAGGAGACCAAGACTGGGTGTTAGGGACTGTCCCTGGTGAATATGGGAATGACATAAATGTTGCTAGCTCTTCATGCTGGAATTGTAACGAAAGCTATTCAGTTTCACTTCCCAAGATGATAGTGCTACTTCCATTATCCAACCCTGAGAGTCATGTATTATTATATGTGACTATGGGTCTGTCCGTTTCTTCACAAATCTGGGAATTGGGGATCTCTTTCTAAAGCAGTGTTTCTCCAAGGGTGGTCCAAAGACCCCCTGCCTCAGAATTACTCCCAGATGCCTGTTAAAAATGCAAATTTCTGAGCCTCCCTGCAGCCCTACCAAACCAGACTCTGGTGACTGGTGACAGGGTGCAGATGTGCATTGTGGCAGGCTCTCCCACATGATCTGCATGAACACTCAAGTTCAAAAGCAGATGAGCAGCCCAAGTCCCGCTGCACGATAAAGGCCGAAAAGGTCTGCTGTTAAGGAGAAGCACCTATGAATGCCCGCTGTGTGAAGCTTTAAACTCATTTTCTCACTGACTTCTCACGAGAGCCATATGGGGGTCAGTGTTAAGTTTAATTACTGCCCCATTTCGGGCGTAAGGAAACTGAGTGCCTAGGAGTTTAGAGGTCTGCCCAAGGCCATAACACTTTGTAAGTGGAAAAGCCAAGATCTTGACCTAGCTCTGTTGCCCTCCAAAGCCCAAGCTATAACCGCAAGAGTACACAAAGCTAGGAATGAGGGAGAGTGGTTTATGGTGGGCTTACTGTGTGCTGGATGCTGTGCCAGGGAACAGAGACATACACATGGACATTCGAGTAGGGAAAACAGACACTCGAGAGATAAATATGTAAGCAATTAATTCATTTGCAATTATGTTAGTGATCTTGTGGCTACTGGCTGGTGGAAGCAGCTGAGGTCAAACGGTGGAGTTCTGACTTAATTGCACCTCAAATTCCGCATCTCTGCGGTAACCTAAACGTTCCTTTCTGCATAGCTGCTTCGGTGAGCCATGGCAATTTGCTCTTGTCTGCATTCATTATTCCTGAATTATGTGGGATTTTGTCATGGGAACAGACTTACAACTGGGCCTTTGTTTAAAAACTTCTCTAAGCTCCAAAAAGTCCGTGATTGAAAATTAGAGTTTTTCTTCCCTTCCCCGCTTTGCAGTTCAGTTTTGCTTCCCACCAGAGTGTTATCTATTTCTGTAAATGCCATAAATGATTACACAGCAGTGTACTTTTTCCAAAATTACAATTTGCAGGATGCATTGTAAGTATCGTGTTCATTCGAACATATTTTAAATTACTCAAAAAGGACAAGTTCTTCCTTCCTTTTCCAATTTAATACTTATCAATCGTTATAGTTATTCAGAATATTGTTTTAAAATATACATATGAAAAACTAAAGTAATTCTGCTTCTCCAATATAGTAATTTCTTACTATAGGAGACTGTTAAGGGTTGGTGAGTTTTGCAGGGATAAATCTATTATGGGATAAAATAGGTAGAAATATAGAATAAGTTTGACAAAATTAGGATGACGTCACTAATTGCATTTGAGACCTCTGTCAATGTCACATTCTATGGAAAAAGAACTATCATGGGGGCAGACATTCACGTCGTCAGGATTTACAGTCAGATGGACAAAAGTTCAAAACCAAGTACTTCACTCTTCCACTGTCAAGTCTTATGACCTTAAACAAGTTGCCTAACTCCTTTCAGCCTCCTTTAAGGAAACTTGATGAAGATAAAGAGGTAAAACCTAACTATGAATTCCCTTCCTTTTTATTTCCCCTTTATTTGTAATAAAAATTAAATTATCCCTAAAAATAAACTGTTTAACAATAAAATTGTATATTGTAAAAATCATCTACCTTTTACCTTTTTTTGACATTTCTTTTAAAATTTTACTATTTACCCATGCATGGATTTGCCATATCCTGGCAAAATGTAGCACTATAGACTATTGTATAAAAAATGCTATAATAAATTTAATGTAAAGATTTTTAAGTCTATTTTTAACTACATACTTTACATTGCTGTTATATTAAGACTTCTCAAAAAACTTATAAATTTTTAGACTACTAGCAAGATTTTTTCTAATTAAGGGTTTGTTATAAGTAGCAAAGTATTACTTATAAATGTTAATTCAGCTATAGATTTCATTTTATATAGTATCATTGTATATACAGAACTCTTAGAATTTTTTATTTTCAATTCTTATAGACCAATATAAAAATGACATAGCTTGGCCTTAAGGACCTATATTGATCATATGAATGATTTATTCAAGTCTAAGTATTTGGTCAGGTCAATGAGGAATATTATTTGATTTGCAGTGATATTTCCCACCACATTTTAGGTGAAAATTAGGAACTGATTCAATATTGATATCTTTTACAATTTTATTATTGTATCATTACTAAGTTGTTTTTTTTTCACACAAGTTGATTATGCCAGTGATTTTATGTGGTTCGTTTTGCTTTGTCAGGCCTGATGCTTAATAATTATATGGGTGAGTGACAGGTTGATGAAAGAGTGAATGAATGATACTTCTTCACAGAACAGAGGACAGATCTAACATGATGAGTCATTTCTCGACTCAGAAACAAAAAACAAAAAACTTACCGAGATAAACTGCTTTCAATTTACACAAGTCACCACTAGATGGTGAGCTTGTAGCCTTGGCAGCACAACTGTGTAGCAGCCTGCATTTCTTCCAGGCAACTGTCAGGGTCTTTTCAAAATGTACACACAGATTCCACCTCCTTAGGAAAAAGAAAGGCTTTACTGGCAAAAATATAATGTACATCACTAGTTCTTATTAGATTCCAGAAATAAACACAATAATTTTCTCGAAATATAAAATTTTATTTTCAGAAACCATCTCTCTCTTGGTCAGAAACTTTTTAAAAAAAATTCTATGCCTGCTCATAGCTGCCCATCAAAATGGCATGTGTAGCTCGTGACCCTCCTTTTCACTAAATGGATTTTATCCTGTTTTCACTAAGCGATGACTGTAGTTGTGTGCCAGCTCTTAGTTTCCAGTTCAAGCCAACCCCAAGCTCACAAAATAGAAAATTTCCTTCTGCCTTCATCTCATCTCTTAACCCCAAAATAAACCCATTTTGTGATAGGATAGCCAACTACACTTATAGACAAGGCAAGTGCCACGGATAGAGTGTGCCTAGGGGTCATACACAAAAACATATTTGAGTCGATTTGTAGCCAGTCTCCTATACTACAAACTTGCTGCCATAGTGTTGATCAGTGGATTGGGGACTCCCCAAAGGAAGGGGCCATAGGTCTCACAGGAGTCTGTCACTAGACCCGCTTGCCCTAATCAGCATTACCAGTGAGCTGAAGCGAAGGTGTGTTATATCACATGACACAGTTAAGATCCAAAAAATATCTTTAACTCTATAAAGGTCCAAAATCAGTAAGATGAATTTCAACAAGATATCAACATAAACCCCCATGGACTAAGTGGCTGAGGTGTAGCTGTTTTAATGATCATTGCAGAAAGCAATAATGGGAAAAACTTGGCCTGAACAGGTCAAAGGCTAGTAGTTGAACATAAGTCAGTGTGAGCTTCAGTGTGGCGTGACTTCTAAAAATACGAATGCGCCCTTAGACTCCTTTCACTAAAAGAGTGCCACCATCAGGGGAGCCCACTGCCTGTTCACACCATGTCACCCCTAGGCCGAGGGACCGGAACTTATGATTCGGGGGCCTGGAGTGTAAGTGGAGTACGGTGGCACTCATCAAATACAGGAGACGCTGCCAAACGGAAGATGGGAAACTTTTCTGGGCCGACTTTGAGAGCACTGACCTCAAACTAAAGAGCAGACGTTAATGGGCACGAGATTTGAGGTCGACATAGGGAAAACTTTCTAATAACTACACCCATTTGAAAATTAAGTCGCCTTTATTACAGGTAGCTTGTAGTCATTGGAAATGTCCAAGCAGAAAGGGAATGGCCACTTTATATAATGTTTAGAAAAAAAATTCTGCTGTCTGAATTTGGTTAAAAGTTGAGAGAATAGAGAAGAAAAACAATATTTCCCCCTAAGTTACCACATTTCC